TGTTTTGCCTCAGTGTGGTGGGATCAGATCGGGCGGAAATCCCACACTGTCTCCAGTGTTGTCCCCTGTAGGGCTATGGGTCATTGAGGGATGTTGTGTCTCCTAGTGGGGCCTGTGATGTGGTCTTCTCCACCCCCCAACCCCCCTTTTGATCAGGATACTTCTGTAGAGTCTTTGATCAGAAGGTTCAGTCCTGGTACCCAGGGCACCGTGTAGGTCTTCTGTCTCCTGGCCAAGGAGGCGGTGTTTCAAGCACACACCCCATATCTTTCTCCTGTTCCTAATGCTCCTCCTCTCTCTGAGGCTCCAGGAAACAGAGGTCGGTTGTTGCATGTCTGCCTTGTCCTGTTTAAGAGCATACCAGCTTTGTGCTTGGGAATGGCTTTACGTTTGAGTCCAAGTTCCATCGCCTTCTAGCTGTGTGACTGTGTGTGCATGTGTGTGTGTGACTTGATCTCCAGGTGTCTCAGGTTTCTTAACCTGCAAAGCAAGAAGAGTAACCGAGCCTACCTCCTGGGCTTCGAGCATTTCACAGGATCTTGCATGTAAAGGGCCAGCCCCGGTGGCATTGGGGTTGCGAGTCGGGCTGCAAACCACAATGTCAGCAGTTCGAAACCGTCAACTGTGCCGCAGGAGACAGACACACGGGCTTCCTGCTCCCGCCCAGAGTGACCGTCTGGGAAGCCCACAGGGGCAGGTGGACCCAGTCCTCTGGGGCCGCTGTGAGTTGGCAGTGAGTTTGCCTTTGGTGTGGTGTGGAACGTGGAACCTGGTGGCACGGTGGGTTAAGTGGCAGGCACGATTGGCAGTTTCAACACATCCAGCCGCGCCTCTAAAGATTGACAGTCTCTGAAAACAGGACTTGCGCAGGGCGCAGCTCGCTGTGACCCCATTGGCACACTCGGTTATCCGAGGTGGTCACGTCAACTTTAGAACGGCTTCCTGGGGTTTCCAATTAAAAAAGAGATGGACATTTTACTTGTGAATTAGGTGAAGGGTGACCGCCCTGGGGGTGTCCTGGTAATATGCTGGGCTGCTAACTAACTAACTAACGGGAGGTCCAGCCGTTTGAAACCACCAGCCACTGTAAGGGAGAATGAAAAGGTTTTCTAGTCCCGTAAAGGGTCACAGTGCGGAAACCCACAGGGGTCGCTGCGAGTCGGGGTCACCATGAGTCCGAATCGACTCGAGGACAGTGAGTTTTTGTACATTTGGCGAGTGATGTGCATTCTGATCCCACGCCTCCCTTGCAATCCTCTCTGGGTCCCCTCGATTTCCCTGCTTCCTCCCTGTGTGTCCCCTTTCCCTCTGCTTTCCCAGCCCAGTGCAGCCTTTCTGGTCCGGAATGGTTGAGTCATCTGCCATGGGGTTGATAGTTCGGTTCCAGGCCTGGAGGGTGACTAAGGGGCATTGTCTCAGTCCGGGGTGCGGGGTGGGGTGGTGGTGTCCCACCTGGCTCTATCCGACCAGTAAGCCTGGCCTCTTTTCTGATCTGGACTCATCGTGTCTTCTAGATGGTCATTTTTACTCCCCCAGTAGTTTTATGGAGATACAATTCACATAGCTCACCACTTCCGCAGTTCCCTTGCATTTTAAAAACCGTCAGTTCACAGGTAAACCCCTCAGGACCAATCATAAGAGTAGTGATACCAGGAGGGTAAGGGGAAGGTGTGGGGGAGAGAGGGGGGAACTGATCACAATAATCTGACATATAACCTGCTCCCAGGGGGACAGACAACAGAAAAGTGGGTGAAGGGAAACGGTGGTCACTGTAAGACATGAAAAAAACAATTTATAAATGATCAGGAGTTCATGAGGGAGGGATGGTAGGGGAGGGGGGAAAATGAACTGATACCAAGGGCTCAAGCAGAGAGAAAATGTTTCTAAAATGTGAGGGCCACATATGTACAAATGGAATTTGCTTGACACAATGGATGGATGGATGGATTGGGGTAAGAGCTGTCAGAGCCCCCAATAAAATGATTAAAAACAATAACAAAAAAAGAATGATCAGTTCTAGAACATTGTTCCCTCTCCTGCATTCACGATGGGCTCCCCATTTCCCTGCTCTCTCTCCCCTGCCCATATTCCCCCAATAAGCCATTACACCACTTAGGGTCTAGACTGACCTCGTGTGGGGAGCGGATGGACAAGTCGTTCTCCTGCAGGGCCCTGGCAGCTGACAGAGCCTGTTGCTGCTGTGTCCCTTCCGGGACGTGTTCCCGGGGACAGGGAGCACCTGCCCTCCATACTGACCCCTTCCCCGGCTCCCTTCCTCCCTCAGCGTGAAGCCGTTCTCCCAGCTGCCTTTCTCCGTGTCTCTGTCTCCCCCGCCCACCGAACTCCCAGGTAAGAGCCCACTTCCCTCCGGCCCTTGCCGCTCCCGTCTCCCCTCCCTGCTCCCCCAGCCCCACAGCTACCTTTCTCCTCAACCATTCAGGAGTCAGGGCCCCACCTGCACATTCTTCCTGAGCTCCAGCTCTGGGAAGGAGGGTAGGACAGTGATTGGCTGGAGAGTTTTTATCACTGGACACACAAGGTGGGGTTACCTACCGCCCTGCTAGCCAACGGGGGACCTGGGGCACGTGTGTTCTTCGGGATTCCTTCAGTCACACAAGACAGAAAGCAAGGCCAGGCTAGCTTTTGAAACCTAAGGAAGAAGAAAGGCAGGGTGGTGGGTAGCTTCAGGCATGGCTAGATGCAGCCGCTCAGAATTGTCTGTATAGCATCAGGATTCGTTGGGCTCTGCTTTCTTCCTTGGTGGCTTCAGTTTTGCCCACCTGGCAGCAATGATGGCTCCCAGCATCCCAAGCCTCTGTGGCCCCGAGGACCCATATATACTCCTTCAGTGAAGGCCGGAGGAGTCCCTTCTCCCACACGGCCCACAGATTCATCAATTAAGAATGCTTTTGGCCGCAAGTAACAGAAACTCCCAAATTAAGAGAGGAAGTAAACGCTTCGGTCCATAAAACAAAAAGTCTAGAGAGAGGAGGGCTGGGCTGCACCTGTGCTGGCTCAGCGACTCAGCCATATCAGGATTCGCATCTCCGTCATCCTCTCTGGTCCCTCTCTCTGTCTCATTGTCACCAGACGGCAGCTGTGGCTCCAGGCATCACATCCCAAGCAGGTTGCCCAGGGCCAAAAGCTTTCTCCTCCCAAAGTTCTGTCTTTTTCATTCAGGAAGAAACTCCTTCCCAGAAGCCCCCCAGCAGATTCCCCCTAACGTCTCATTGGCCAGAACTGTGTCCCATGGCCACCTCTAGCTGCAAGGGAGGCTGGGAAAGTGAGTATTTAGCTTTTTCAGCTTCTAAGTGGAGGTAGGCAAGAGAGAACAGTGCCTGATCTATGCCACACATGTTGAGCGAGTTCTTTTTTTTATCCTTTCTTCTCTCTCTCTAGGGTACGAGCCCCCACAAGCCCTCTCACCCCCGGCCCTGCCCCCACCTGCTCCGTCACCACCAACCTGGCAGACTCGGGCCCTGGGCACCTCCCGGTTGCAGCTGGTGGAGTTCTCAGCCTTTGTAGAGCCACCGGATGCTGTGGACTCTGTGAGTCAGACCTCGGGAGGGTCCTTGGGGAGGGGAGAGGGGAGCTGGGAGGAAGGGCACGGAGCAGAACGTAGCGTGTTATCAGCATGACGGGGAGCCCTGGTGGCGTAGTGGTTATGCATTGGGCTGCTGTCCATAGGTCAGCAGTTTGAAACCCAAGGAGAAAGATGGGGCTTTCTATTCTCCTCAACAGTTACAGTCTCAGGAACTCAAAGGGGCCATTCTGTCCTGCCCTAGGATTGGATTGGACTCAATGGCAGCGAGGTGTTTGGTACCAGGCTGTGGTGGGTCCTGAGAACCTAGAAATGCAGATCTTACTTCTGGGCTTGAGCTGCTTCTGCCTGGGGTAACAGATGCGGCGTTGGGCTGGATCGACTGTTAGGAAAACAACCCTCCACCTCTTAGGACAGTGGTTCTCAACCTTCCTGATGCCGTGACCCTTTCGTACAGTTCCTCATGTGGTGGTGCCCCCCCCCCTGACCCCCAAATGTAAAATTATTCTCCTTGCTACTTCATCACTGTCATTTTGCTACTGTGATGAATTGGGTAACTCCAGTGAAAGGGTCGTTCGGCCCCCCCAAAGGGGTCACGACCCACAGGTTGAGAACCGCTGTTTAGGGGCTGCGCACCAGAGGGGTTTGGTTCCCACGTAGAGGACATTTCAGTGTGGATGCGGGGAACCAGGCTGCGGTTCTGTGGCCCTGTTGTTCTCCAACTACTTAGGTCAGGTCCGACTCATGAGGAGAGCTGCTGCTCCACTGGGTCTGGGAGCAGATGGCCAGGCTTTCCTTTCAAAGTGTCTTCGAGTGACGGTCCAGGGGTTACGGATTGGGCTTCCAACCCCAAGGTCAGCGGTTCGAAACCACTGGCCACTCTGAGGGAGAAAGACGGGGCTTTCTACTCCCGTAAAAATTTACAGTCTGGGAAACTCATAGGGGCAGTTCTACCATGTCTTAGGGGGTCCCTGTGGGTCAGCACGGAGAGTTCTGAGTTCTCCGTGTGTTTGAACCGGCAACCTTGTGGTGAGGCATCATGCACCTAACTGTCTGTGCCACCCTGCTGTTAGGTGCGCTAGAGCCGAATGGGTGCTTTAGAGTCAGTGTCTGAGCCCTCAGGATCCCGCACAACTGGGTAGAATTGCCCGCCTTGGGTTTCCTAAGTTAACGATCGTTACAGAAGCCCCCCATCACAGTTTTCTCCCGCAGAGCTGTGGGTAGATTCCAACGGCCAACCTCTAGCACTGGAGCCCTTAAAACACTTTGCCTTACCTGGCCCCCAAATGCACTGCTGGATTCTGCTTCGGGCCAGCAGAGGAAGGGAAAGGCTGAAGAAGGGCACGTGCTTGGGGAGCAGCCTGGCTCAGATCTGCTCACACCCTATTGGCCAGGACATGGTCAGGTGGTCTCAGCTAGCTGCAAAGGCGTCTGGGAAATGTAGTTTCCCCGTCCGAAAGGGACCGATGGAGGGCTGTGTGTGAACACAGAGCAGTCTTCGCCTCTGCAGCCCACCACGCCCAACGCTGTTCTCTGGTGATCCGGGTCTCCTGCGGAGTCCAAGTTCAAGTTTCTTAACGTTGCCCGTGGAGTGGGGCAGGGGAGAGGAGGGTCACGGCCCACCGTCCACTCCTCACGCCTGGCTGCTCGTCCCCAGTACCAGAGGCACCTCTTTGTGCACATCAGCCAGCGCTGCCCCAGCCCCGGCGCGCCGCCTCTGGAGAGCGTGGACGTCCGGCAGATCTACGACAAGTTCCCCGAGAAAAAGGGCGGCCTGCGGGAGCTGTATGATCGCGGGCCCCCCCAGGCCTTTTTCCTGGTCAAGTTCTGGGTGAGTTGCATCAAAGCCCCCAAACACCCGGTATTCCCAGGCTGGAGGCATCTGGCTATCCAAAGGTCCAGTAAGTCCGGCTTACGCACGGAGGAGGCTTGTACCCAACAGGATTTGAGCGAAAGGGACTGGTGCAGATGCAAGGGTGTGTGGCCAGGGTCTCCCCAGACCCACCAAATCCCGCCCACCCACCCCCTAAAAGCCCAAACCCTCTGACAGCACCTTAACTCATGGTACGCCCCCCTGGAGTTTTTGATTAGAACCGCCTGGTAGGGTTTTCGATGTCTATGGGGACAGACGGTCAGGTCTTTCTTCTGCAGCTCTCCTGTGGGTAGGCTCAAACCAGCAACCTTGAGGGTCGTAGTCGAGTGCAAACTGTTTGTACCACCTAGGGACCAGATCCCACTGATCAAAGAATTAAAAAAAAAAAAAGAACTGGGGACAGTTCTCCCGTCCTATAAGGTCAGTATACACATCAGCACCATGGCAGTGAGTTTGGTTTTGTGGGGCATGTCAGGGGAGGATGGAGCGAAACAGGGAGCTAACAAACATGAGCGTGAGAAGGAAATGTTCTAAAAGTGATTGTAGTGATGGTTGCATCCTTCTTCTTAATAGGATTGATGATTGATCACACTGATGACTGATCACACTGTACGATAGGTGAAGTATATGCCAATAGAACTATTTTTAAAACAAAAGAAAGCAATCGCTGGCGAGTCCATTTGGATTCAGAGTGACCCCATGTCCCGGGTGTGTATGGACGAGTGTCACAGTGGCACTGAGCTTCCTAGGATTTTCAGTGGCTGGAAAATCGCCAGACCTTTCTTTCAAGACACTTCTTGAGTGGGTAACCTTTTTTAAAAAAATTAATTTTTAAAATGAAAATTTAACTTAATTTATTAATCATTTTATTGGGGGGGGGGACTCTTCCAAATTCTTATCACAATCCATCATTCAATGGTATCAAGCACACTTGTACATCCCACAGCATTTTTCTTTCTCCTTGAGCTCCTGGTATCAGCTCCTCTTTTTTCCCTCCTCCCTCCCCCACTGTCCCACCCTCGTGAATCCTCCATCAATTATGTATTATTACTGCTATTTTGTGTCTCACATGGTTCATTGTCTGCCTTCACCCACATTTCTGTGATTCGTACCCCCCATGGGGTGGTGGTGGTGGTGATGGTGAGCAGCCTTATGGACCTCCTAGAAATCTGGGGTGGCGGGTGGGGCCATTAGGGTTTTGACACAGGAAGAGGCCAGCCTCCATTGCCGGGTAGACAGAGGGAGTCCCGCTTCTGAGGAGAGGCCTAAGCTATCCAGGAGCGAAGCCAGGTAATCACACTCACAACTCAAAGTAGGGGTGGGGTTAAGAGTTGCGGCTTTCAAGGGGGTGACCCCTCAAACTCAGGGGCTTCCTTGGATTCACTTGGCATTTGTGACGGAGCCCCTGGGTGGTGCAGACAGAAGAGTTGTCCATTTGAACCTACCAGAGACGCCTCAGAAAACAGGTCTTAGGGTCAACTTCGGGAAGGTCACGACCTTGAACACCCGATGGAGTCTGTGCTGTACACATTGGGTCACCAGGAGTCGGGACTGACTGGGTGGTCAATGCCATTTTTCTTGTCTTTTTGGCCTGGTGTGAGCGAGCTCCAAAGTCAGGCCGTGCTCTGCCCTCTGAGACTTGACTACAAGGCCCTGAGGAATGTTCTAGAAGGGAGGGAGGTTTCCTCAGGCTGTGCCGGGCCTTGTTGTTAGGGAGTAGCCTTAAGCAGCTAAGGTGGAGACCCAAAGCCCATCTGTAGACGATTGGACAGCCCCCCTACGGAAGGGTCGAAAGGAAGGGAAGAGTCAGCCTGGGAGCAGTATAGCACGGACAAAACACACAGTATCCCTCTAGTTCTTTAATGCTTCCTTCCCACCCCACCCACTATTATGACCCCAGTCCTACCTTACAAATCCAGCTAGACCGGAACATGTACACTGGTACAGATCAGAGCTCTTGACATAGGGAATCCAGGACAGAGAAACCCCTCAGAAACAGTAATGGGGAGTAGTGATACCATGAGGGTAGAGGGAAGGTGGGGGGAAGAAAGGGGAGAAAAGGGGAACCAATCACAATGATTGATGTTAACCACCCCCCACCCCAGGGGGACAACAACAAAAATGTGGGTGAAGGGAGACAACGGATGGTGTAAGATGAAAATAATAATTTTTAAATTATCAAGGGTTCACGAGGGTGGGAGGGTAGGGGCAGGGCCGGGGGTGGGGGTGGGGGGTGGGGGAGCTGATACCAAGGGCTCAAGTAGAAAATGTTTTGAAAAGCATGTACACATGTGCTTGATACAATGGATGGATGGATTGTTATAAGAGCTGTAAGAGCTCCCAATAAAATGATTAAAAAAAAAACCCCGAACCTCCCCCCACCCCCCCATTAATTTTTAAAAGCAGCAGCAGCAGCTAAGGGCTTAGAGATTGGTTCCCAAACTTATTTGGCCAACTGTCTCCTCAGGGGGCAAAAAACATTACTCAGCGACCCCTTGGCAATGAGAAACTTTTATATGCTAGCCTACTACTATCTAGGATAAAATAGAAATACCTGTGTTTGTAGCCCCCCTGGAATCTTCCAGCACCCCTTAGGGGCAGTATTGTCTGCTTTGGGACATGCTGTCTCTGAGGGAAGCATCTCTGGTGCCAGGGATTCACTGCCTCCTTAGTGACCTGTGTGTGCATTGGGCATTTCAGGAGAAGTTGAAGTCCGGAGCTCCTTGCCATGGGAAGAGCCCAGGTGGCGTAGTCATTACCTGCAGGGCTGCTAAACACCAGGCCAGAGGTCTGAAACCACCAGCCCCTCCGTGGGCTAAAGATGAGGCTTTCCCCACCGGTAGAGTTCCAGTCTTTGAAACCCACAGGGGCAGTTCTACCCTGTCTTCTAAGCCTCAACTCCGTGGCAGTCCGTTAGATTTTGTATTTGGCGTGGGGAGTTAGCCGTAGGACGCCAAGACCCTCTTGACTCGAACTTGTCCGGCAGTGAGACCCAAGTGGGTCTTTCTTCAGCTACCAGAGGTCACAGAGATGGCACGGGAACTCAGCAAGAGGGATGGGTGATGGCAAGGGGGGCTGTGGGAGAACCCAGGCCCTGGGGCAGAGTCCCCATCTGAGAATCGTCCCTGCTGTTTATAAGAGACGTCTCCTTCAATGGTGTCTCCCCACCCACCAGGCGGACCTGAACTGGGGCCCGAGTGGCGAGGAGACAGGGTCAGGTGGCAGCAGCGGCGGCTTCTATGGCGTGAGCAGTCAGTACGAGAGCCTTGAGCACATGACCCTCACCTGTTCCTCCAAAGTCTGCTCCTTTGGCAAGCAGGTAGTGGAGAAGGTCGAGGTGAGGCTGGGGGCCGGGAGAGGTCATCGGGCAGGGGAGTATTTGTCCAGCCACCTGCCACTCCGGGGGTTGTTGAGTCTGTGGGAGCAGGGGGACACGAAGGGTCTGGAGGTCTGGAGTTTGGGGGCAGTTTGCATGGTGGGAGGACTCCCAGCCTCTTTGGGGATTTAGCCTGTGAGTTTAGAACCTATAGATGAGTCACATGTGAGCGCGGGAATGCGGACAGTGATTTAGGGTCCCTAAGAGGGTCAGCGGCAACTGGAGACGCCTTCAGGGATATGGGCAGAAACAGTAGCTTACAACGATGCATTCGACCCCATGGACCGTCCTGGAGAGGGTGCAGAACGAGGGGATCCCTTTCATTGGGTCAGCATGAGTTGAGTCGACAGGATGGCCAAACCCCTAAGGTTCAAAAATGAGTATTGAGGGGTTCGGAGGCATGGGAGTTCACCGGTTGCTGAAGACTTTGGGGGGGCGGGGTCTTGAGTTACAAGGCCATTTAGAGTTTGGAGATGTCATGCTGGGTCTTGGAGGGTCAGAGCAGCTCCGAAGGTCTTGGGAGGTCCGGGATCAGACGACGAGGTCACCGGGGCTCCTGAGCATGGCTTTGAGAGGTGGGAGGTGGTCCCAGGGGTACAGCATT